CACTGTTTTTTTCATGCCGGCATTTCCATGCTTGGGTGTATAATGAGGGGTTGAACATGGCAAATCCTCTGAACTTGAAGTCTTCTGAAATCCTTCTGCTTGCCCCTTACTGAGGGAGTTTTTCCCCCAGAGGGTGGTGAGGCACTGGAACAGGTTGCCCAAGGAGGCTGTGGATGCTCCATCCCTGCAGGCATTCAAGGCCAGGCTGGATGTGGTTCTGGGCAGCCTGGGCTGCTGGTTGGTGACCTGCACACAGCAGGGGGTTGGAACTGGATGAGCATTGTGGGCCTTTTCAAGCCAGACCATTCTATGATTCTATGATTTTCTGATTTTCTTCTTGCCCTAAGAAGCATCCAGATATGAATGATTAGTGATTTAATCACAACCACAGAATCACAGAATGGTAGAATATCCCAAGTTGGAAGGGACCCACGAAGATCACTGAGTCCAACTCTTTCCCATGGGTAGTGTCACTCAGTTGGACACTGCAGGCCAGGAAGAGGAAGGCTGGGCTTCGGAGAGTGAAATTCAATCTGATCAGGATATCTAAATCCTCCAGGCTCCTTTGGAAATCCCAGCTCAGCACCTTGCCTGCCAGTGCCTAACAAGCCTCTCAAGAAAAAAGACAGCAAACCACCAGGTTTTAACGATAATCAGCCTGGCTTCTTAGCACCTTCTCTTGTGACCTTGGTTGCTAGGAGGTTCGCATCAATACACAAAAAGGGAAGTATTAATAGAAAGAAAGAGCAGCTGATGGGAGCTCTGCATAGTGCAGGGGCTGCCCTTGGGGGATGTGGCAGCTTGCAAAGTCTTCCAGATTGCACCTGCAGCCTTGCAGACCCCATTTGCTGCTCCTGCAGCCACGTCCTTGTCATTGAAAAATCTGTGAAGAAAACTTCAACTCCAACGAGGTGTTAGATTCCATGTTAATAAATTGAAAAACAGCCTCAAAATCTGTTTGACTGCACCTGTACTACTCACTGGGAGCTAAAGAAATGGTTTGGGCTAAAGAGAGCTGCTCTGGATCAAAACCAAGGAAGGGACGATGAATGAGATGTATGATCCATAGAGGTGCAGTGCCTAAGCTCTTATGCTCTTATTTAACTTCTAGATGTAGCCACAAATCTGAAGAACAGATGGCGTTGAAATTCTCAGAGGCTTTGCAAGCATCAGATTCTCAGCCTTTATAGATGTCCCAGTCTGATTTTGGCAGCAATTGGCTGGGTCTGAATCTTCTCTTGGGTTCACACACTTTGCAGATTGCCTTGGGAGATGGCAAAGGCAGTGGGTATGGGGTGAAAGAAGACACAAGGAAAAAGCCAAGCTGGAAAGAAGAAATCTCGACCTTCTGGACTCAAGCCCTAAGATCCAGTGGTCTCATGGTGTTTTTCCCCACAGTGCCCTATGGGACAGCTTGCAAAGGAAGGGGCTGACTGTCAACAGCCACGGCCAAGAGAAACACGGCACTGCTGGTCTAAGCACCAGCCCAACTTGGCTTGCTTTCCTCTCTTTATGAGGATGGTAAACACAGGTGAGGAGCAGGCAAGACACACTTGTGCCCTCGCTGTGGGGTGTTGCATGTACGAATATGGCTGAGCAGGAACAAGGAGCTCCTGAACGGCTGCAGACAAAACCACTAAACCTCCCCTTATCCCACATTATCCCCCCTCAGCTGTTCTGCTGGGGATGCCATGTGCTGCTCAACAACTGCCCTCATGCAAAGGCTGAGGGAGTGCAGGAGGAGCCCCGCCGAGCTTTTCCATCCCAGAAGTGCTGCCAATCCTGAGGAGGCTCTTACAGAGCACCTGCACTGCAAAGGGCAGCATGCCACCACCTCCTTTTTACACACAGGTGATGGAGATGAAGCTTAATCCAAATGAATGGCGGCTTGAAGATGAACGCTAGATCAAATCACGCTTGAGTGAGTGAAGGAGCTGGGAACAGGTCTCACATCCCGTCCTCCTGGGCTCTGCTTGGTGGATGCCCTCCAGCTAACAGGAGTCTCGATCAGAATCATCTCACACAGAGCTGCCTTCAGCTGTGTTTCGGGTTCCTCAGCGGCTCCACACTTCCACCTAGTGACCGAAAGCCTTCCCCACGTCGAAGAGTCAAAGAATGGTTGGGTTGGAAGGGAAATCAAAGCCCACCCGCTTCCAAACCCTGCCGTGGGCTGGGTGCCCCTCACCAGCTCAGGCTGCCCAGGGCCCCATCCAACCTTTGAATTCCATCCTGAACGCAACACAATCCGTTTCCTGGATTCCCGACTGTCTGTAAGGCTGTTTCTGCTCACGCACGTAAGATTTGCAGCCTCCATTTGAATAACTACAAACAAGCAACAAACAAACAAACAAACAGACAAACACATGAGGTGTTGCTTTTTGAGCAGAAGTGATGGGATTTTTATTTTTATTTTTTTTATGGCTGGCTGCTGAATTTGAGTGACTGCTTGTGTTGGGGCAGAGCTAACAGTAGAACTATCCAGGCCCTTAGGGCAGAAATTAGCCCTAATTACCTGGAATCCCACCCCTCTCTGCCCTTACAGTCAGGAGCTCTATTTAACCCCAATCTTGCACTCCTTTGTTGGACTGATGCTATAGGTGTACAGCTTTACTGTCCCATCTTCTGGCTGGAACTTGGACTCACATTGTGGCTCAGTCTCCAGCCCTATTGCTTCTATCTGGGCTTTTTTGGGCCATCCTGGATCTGATCTGCCCTTTTGTTTGGGGCTGTCAGTGGACCCCATTAAGAGCATCTGGCTCTGCCTGTTGCATTCAACTGATCTTCTTCTTCAGTGCTTGTTCTTTGATAGCATTTTCTTTTCCGATAATTCCCTCAAATCTGTCTATTATTTTTCTGGTTGTATTTGCAGTGGGATTTTAGCTAATAAGTAAACTGAGTGTAGACTATTGAGCAGCTCAGGGTTAACTTTCGTTGGGCTCCTGTAATCATTGGCTATATGCACATGAAACATCAGGTCTTGATCAACAACAAACCCAGCACCACTGGTTCCATGGCTGGGCAGAACTCCAAAATTTCCACAAAGGTTGGCTGCCCTTGATTTCATGCTACTGCCTCTCTGAATCTTTTTCATTTCCCTTTGGGGATGAGGTAAGAGCACGAATACATTCTGCTATTATTTGACTGGTGTGTAGTAACTCATTAAACTGTAGCTATGCCGCTGTCTGAAATCTTGGTGTGAGCTTCAGTGGAAACTTCCATGAAGGCACCTGTACCAATGGAAGGCCACATCAGCCTGCTTTGTTTCTGTTGGCTTCAGCAAAAACTCATTCTTCTTCCGCCTGGGCTTCAAATGGATGGGTGTAGATGTGGGAGTAGGTGTGATGCTTGCAGCTATTCAGGATCTGATGAAGGCTGAGCTGGATCTTCCCTGCAGTCAGTGGAGACGTGTGGTTCCATAACCCTTCTTTCTATTGCAGTGTAAGGATCAACAGGGGAATAGGTACTTGAGATGTGGTAGGGGGTCTGAATGCCCCTTGGGCAGAATTCTAGCCAGATTCTGGCACAGCTGGGAATGCTGTGCAAAATTTGAATTAAGGGTGTACATGGAAACCTCCAAGTCTGCTTGCTGGGAAAGCCACTCCCAGGTTGGGTATCAGCATATCAGGAAACCATTCAACCCATTTATGTCATACATGGGGGGAAGAAGGCATTGAAGACCTCGATTATCCTCCTGCTGGAGAAGTCAGGCATTCAAACTCATAGAATGGCTTAGGTTGGGAGAGATCTTAAAGATCATCTAGTTCCAACCCCAAGGGAAGAATATTCCAGGTTATTCCGATTGTGGTTGTTAAAGGCTTGGAAGCAAATGGTTAACAGCAGCGAGTAGCTTAGGTTAATCATTAAGCATGCCCAATGGACAGCTCTGAGCTGTCTGTAATGAGTACTGCTGAGAAACGAGTCGGGTGGCTTTCAGCACAGCCTCACTTCGTTATCCAGGCAGGGACTGACAGAGCTTCCAACCAAGCACTGTGGGAGAGCCAGTATCAAAGGGATGGGGCAGCTGCACTGTCAGAGCCTCCTCAATTGACTCATCTGAGGAATGGAAGAACAACAACGAGGATAAGGTAGGCCATAATTACAGCCTTGATAAGGGCAATAAAAATAAATCTAAATGATATTGTGAACCAGGTTCACATACACATCAAGGCTTTGGGCTTGACCCCTAGAAATTGAATTTCTGTTAAAAGGTGCAAGAAATACAGGTAGGTAATTGCAGCATTTATTGTGGTAAAAGCAATAGGAGCACCGTTGCTAGCCCATGGTTTCACATCTCTGTATTACTTCAGTCTAATGATTCAGATGCTTGGATTTGAGAGGAGGATAGGAAAAAAAAAGAGCAGGAATGCTTGATGTTGGATGCATAATCTGCTTCTGTTGGCTGGCCATTTGTACCAGCTGTGACCATGAAATGCATGTTTTTAATTGCCACAGTTGCAGACTGTTATGGGGCCATTTACCTCTTAGCTGCTATCTTTATGGTAATGGCAATAGCAATGTTTTAAGTGGTGGTGGAATCAAGAAAAAAGCATTTGGTGTTGCTTATAGCCAGGTTTCTTCATCCTAGGGGCCTCAGCCCCAGATTTGGCTTCCTGGATGTGTGCTATGGTTGTGTTAAACCCTTCTCAAATCTCTGAAGAAAATATTATTTGTTCCTAAAGGAGAGAAGGATGCTTTAGAGACTGAGCAGTGTCTGCTTTCAGTGCTCAGTTTAGATCAGGAGAGAGCTTCTGAAGCAAGCCCAAGAAAGGTGGTTTGTTTCATGCTGTCTCAGTGGAAAGAAGACCATCCTGGGCTTGGTTGATTCTATAGTGCTTTCTCTGTAACTCCACATTAGTCTGCCTTGTCTGCTCTAACAAACCATTGCTCCAACAGGTCTGCAACGTGATGGAGGATGAACAGATGGGATTTATTTTAACGTTACAGAAAAGATGCTAAGATCCTGGGCCATGATCCTGTGAGATCCCCGTCCATGTTCCAAGATGGATCTATGGAGACCATCTCTTCTGGTGTTCTTTGCAGGTGAGGACAGAAGTGTTCTCTAACAACACTGCAGTACCAGTGCCATTGGGTTGGGCACGGCCTGATTGCAAGTGGGATGTGCAGAAGTATTTCTAAATGCTGTTGGACGTTATGGGGCAGTGACTTCAGCATACTGGGAACTATCCACCTTTTTCAGTGGCTGTTCGTGGCATTCCTCCATAGCCATAGATTTCATCTCCTAGTTTTCTATATGTCTGGATAACTGTTGATTGTCCCTGGCTACTTCTGATGTATGTTGGTTTTCTTTTGCTTGACGATAATCATACGATTGTTTAAATGTTGAGTTGGTGATGCAGGGCAAGTCCAGTAGCTCTCTTTAGACAGGTGAATACAGATGTTAGGTGAATTTACATTGATTTGATGAGATGGAACTGCTTATAGAATCACTATGGTTGAAAAAGACCTCTGAGATCACCAACCCCAGCCCACCCCCACCATGCCCACCAACCATGTGGTCAGTGCCACGTTTCCATGGTTCTTGAACACCTCCAGGGATGGTGATGTGGTCAGCTATTGGTTTGCTTCCATTAGCATCAGCAAATGAAGGCCCTCAAAAAAGAAAAAGAAAAAAAAGCCTTAAGAATTTTATGCCTTTTTGGAAAATGTATACAATAAGTTATTTGTAACTTAATTGCATGAAGTCGGAGCTTCATCCTATGCTTCATTCTTCATCCTGTGCTTAAGGGCTTTTCCAAGAGAGAGGTGGGCAGGCTGAGATGGAGGAGGATATATCATATATGTATTTGAGGACAGTCGTCAGAAGAGAGCAAACATTTTTCTAAGAGCTGGAGGGATGAGCATAAGGCTCATCGTGCTTGTTTCAATTCTTGAGGAGGTCAGGAGGTGCAGACTGGCTTAATTCAAAGAGTTCTGAAGGCATCAAAACCTCAGTGAGGGGAAGGAGGAGTTTTACACAGGGAAAGCACTTCCTTGGGGGTGCCCAAGGCCAGGCTGCATGGGGCCCTGGGCAGCCTGATCTGGTAGGGTGACCAGCCCATGGCAGTGTTGGAACTAAATGGTCTTCAAAGTCTATTCCAACCTAAGCCATTCTAAAAAAGGGAAGCAATCCTAATTTGGATATCCACGAAGGAAGGATTGTGGAGGCTGAAATCACAGGAGGACAGCTGCCAGATCACTGTGGTTTGTCTTGAGTTGGATGTTTCCAGTCTTTGCATTAAGCTTCAGCCTGACGTAGCTGGGTTGTTTTTGCAGTGACCTCTGAGGGACTGCTCATAAAGCCCCAGGAGGGCAGTGTTGCTGGAGGAACGTGGATTACTATCACTCTGGATGGTGAGTGTTCAACTCTTGTATACTCTTGCCAAGTATATATCAAAGTAATGGAGAAGCAGGTCTGTTCTGAGACTAGTGGTCAGAACGACAAATCTTCAGGACCAGTCACATAGCTGTGGCATCCAGAGCATGAAATCAGCCTGCAGTTATTACTTCATAAACTATTTTTGATGTTTGCTTGTTTTCAAATTGTAAGAGAAATCACGATTTCTACCTTATTTTTGGAATCCTGTAGAGATCATAGACAGTTGCAGGGGTTTGGAAGGGACCTCAACACATCATCACATCCAACCCTCTGCTAAAGCAGCTCCCTAGAGCTGGTTGCACAGGAAAATATCCAGGCAGGTCTTGAGCAGAGCAGATCTCAAGCAGTACTTGAGATGCTTGCTAGCAAAACCATGCGAGACATCAGCAGCTGCAAGTACCACATGAAACTATTACTTTTACAGGTGCTTTAAGTATCTATGAGCATGATGGTTTGTTCGGTATAGGTGGTTAAGGAGGTTGAAACTGCTGGGAGCTGTCAATCTTTGCAATAGAATATATTCAAAAGCGTCTGCACCTTGTGACTGGATGTGAGTGGTCCTGTCCTCAGAGCTCTTCCCTTTGATTTTGACTCAGGCTCAGCATCCCATGAGCTAGAACATCTCCCTCCAGCCAGCTGGCCCCATCTGGAGGTGTCCCTGGTGAACGCAGACCTGCCCACGTTGCTGTGCGATGTCTCTCCTGTGTATTTTGACTTGTCCACCATAAGATGTAGAACAAGGTATGAACCCTGGCTATCATACTGAATCTTCTGGTTTGGAGAAGACCCTGAAGATGATAAAGTTCAGTTATCAATCTGACTTATTCAGTCCCATCACTTAGCACGTGCCCCCCTCCTAGTGCCATGTCCACATCTCTCTTAAATACCTCAGGGATGGGGACATCCTCCCCTCCCCTGCCCAATGTTTGATACCGTCTCCATGAATAAATTATTTCTCATATACAATCTAAACCTCTCCTGGTGAGAACTTTGCCATCTGTCTGGTAGAATCCTTGTTGCGTTGAGTCTGCGCAGGCACTGTTTCTGTACCTGAGCACCTCCTCAGCTGTGCTGCATTTATCCATGCAATTTAATGAAGTATTGGGTTAATTAATCATGTTGTATATGAATCAGGATGGCCTAGGTTGGAAGGGACCTCAAAGATCATCAAGCTCCAACCCCCCTGCTGAGGAGAACAAACTGAAACTCAGGCTAGGCTCAGATCTTCAAAACTCTGTAGACAGAAGCACAGCACCCAAGGAAATCTGATGTCCTTGCCTGCCCAAGATCACAAAGAGAAGCTTGTGGCAAGAAGAGAAACAAATATGGCTCTAAGCAGCAGCTGGGGAATCAAAGATCCCCCTTCTCCAGCCTGTCATAACTTAAAGGATGTTGTTTGACTAGCAGACTAACAGTGCCTCGAGAGGCAGTAGGAGCAAACCTATTGGAATTCTTCCATCTCTCACTGCTGTGATTTCTTTGGGAGATAATTCTACTGAATGCTGTGCTGTGAAACCATGTTCACTGAGGATGTAGTACTAATTTACAAACCAGGCTTCTCTGTAAATCTAGGCAGCCTTGGGTTGTTTTAATATTAATGAATTACAATTGTTCATTAGTATTAATGAATGCTAATGAGCATGTGTATGTGCTTTGCATTTACATACAATGTAAGAGTATGTTCTGGTACAGTCCTATTGCTTCTACACTTAAGTACAACTTTCTCCTCTGCCCTCATATTCACTTTAAACTGTAGTTCCAGAGTCTGGGTTTGCGTGCAGAGTTTGTGTTCATCACATGAATGTAGTTTGCTCTACCAAAGCTTCAGTGAAGCTGTTTAGAGTGGTGACCCAAAGAAGGACCCTTTTACCTTGAAAATAACAACAACTCCATCTGTATAAAAATAATATAAATATTTTTCTTTTTCTTCTACCTAGGTCTTCACCCCAGGAGGGTTTGTACTATGTGGAAGTGAGATTTAAAGGACGCATGATTAACAACCTGACTGGGGTGGAGAAAGAAAACTATGCTTTCAAGGTAATCACCAAACAAAGATGGAAGTATGATAAAAGTTTCCGATATTGAAAGAAGTCAAGCTTGGTTTCACAGGGTTTGTATTGAAGTAGCATCTCTCATAGTGATTGCATGTCAGGACATGAAGCTAAGATGCTCCTCGTGTCCCTTAAAACTAGAGCATATTGCATTCAGTGGTCTGGCATTGGACAGTCTATGTGACCTGAGGTCTTTCAAAGCAAAAACCTGAGGCTGAGTTAACCTATCTGTGCACTTCAGCCACGCAGTCAGAAGACCATCTTGTGGGTTTGTTTTACCCTTGTCCAGAATTAGTCATGCTTTCTGTGACTCTCACAGCATTATGGCAGGATTCGCCATTTTCAACTAAACGAGTTTGTAAGGGTGTGCATGGTCTTGCTAGCATTGTAAACATAAAAACAGGAAACGATGCTGTGCTTCCATGGATTCCCAAGGAGGGTGGAGTGAGGTGGTGCACTCAGCTCCTGTGGCTGGAAGTACTCTCATCTTGTCTGAGGCTCTTTGCGGGTTGCAGTTGCTCATACTGCTGCAGAGTGGTTAATATAGAATCACCAAGACCTACAAGATCATCCAGTCCAATGGCCTGCCTATCACCAATAGTTCTCACTAAAACAAGTCCTTCAACTCAACGTCTAAACGTTCCTTGAACACAGTATAGTCATAGAGTCATAGGCTTGGGTTGGACGGACCCCAAGACTCAACTTCTCAAAGTCTCAACTTCTTGCTCAAAGGGTTGGCCATGAGTTCACCACTGGTTGTGGAGTCTCCTCCTTTGGAGACATTCAAGACCCAAGGGTTGGCCATGAGTTCACCACTGGTTGTGGAGTCTCCTCCTTTGGAGACATTCAAGACCCAACTGGATGCTTGCTTTCCTGTGTAACCTGCTGTAAGGAACCTGCATTGAGGAGGCTGGACTTAATGCTCCCCAGAGATCCCTTGTGATGCCTATGGTTCTGTGATTCTTGGGGCTTTACTAAGAGCAGTTATGACATGATGCTGGGGCTTGTTGCAGAGCAGACCCCTTAGCCATAGCTGTGCACTTCAGGATGAGGCTTAGTCTGTTCAGAAGTCACGTCCCCCTTCTGCTAACTTTGAGTATCAAGCAAGAAAGCCCAGCATTTCAGTAAATTGCACATTAAAAGCAAAGAGTCATTGGGGGGTTCAGCTAGCTTAGAGAGCTGATGAAAAATCACCAGGGGATGCTGTTAATGAGACACATTGCAAGCTAAATAAAACACAATGTGTCTCTCTGTTTTGAGACTGGGACCTGGGAGCTATGCGTATTAAAAATTAATTTTGCCTCTGCAGTGGATTGGAAAAGCCTGCTGCAGGCAGCAACAAGTCTGAACGGCTCACAAGACTTGTGTCAGTTTGTGGCCTTGCTTTTCTGCTGGTTTTGGCTGATTTCTTTCTGATTGCACTGGCTCCAGCCTGTGGTATGGGCTTTCATCCTCTGCGGTGACCATAACTGGATGGTCTGTGGCCACTCATTCATTTTCCAGGTGACCATAATAAAGGAATAAATATACTCAGCTCTGGTGGGGTTTGAGGAAGGTTTGAAAAAATGTTTGCAGTGGCATTCTTGATTTGAGTTTGGAAATCAGTTGTTTATGCTGTCTGTTTAGTGACATGGTGAGTGGGCATGGAGGTGATGGTTGGATTCAGGGATCTTAGTGGTCTTTTCTGACCTTAATGATTCTCTGGTTCTATTGGGCTGACAGCAGCATCTGCAGGTACAACAAGAGAAGACTCAAGATGAAGATGAAGGAGGGAGATGGAGATTGATGAAGTTTTTAAGAAGTGGATGATTTGGTGGATAGGAACAGGCCAAGTGCACATGGGGAACATTTTTTTTTTTCCTCTAGGGTCGATGAAATCAAGTAGTTGATGACTTAGGACCAGGATTTAGCTAGCTAGCAATGTAGCTGGCCAGTTTTATGGAGGTATTTTTAGCAGAGAAGCAGATGGATTATTGCAGAATCTGAACAACTCATGGGCCTTTACAAATCATCTGAATCCCAAGGTACCTAAATATCTTGATGGATCTGACCTAGTGTTATTCATTTCCAGAATGTAGAATGCTGCACAGGGGAAAGACACATTACTCTTGCATGTCAGGGCAGGTATCTGAGGAACAAGGCTTTCCAAGGTCTTGTTGCTTAAAGCAAGGCTGTGTGATAGTGAGCAAGGTGGGCAGTGCTGGAGTCTACATCCAGCTGCTGATGGTGAGCTGATTCCATGTGAGTTATCAGCATGTGGACGGCCATGGGTACTTCTGGCCCTTTGGCAGATGAATAATGCTCCTGCACATCACTGTTTGAATAGGATTGGTGTTGGTGTAGGCAAAAGCTCCTGGAGTCAGTTTCTTAAAAACAAGCAAAACGCTTGCAGATTTTTAGTGTAATCTGGAGGAAGAGGTCAGCAGGGCTGATTGGCTTCTTGAAAGCGCAGCCAAAGTGTGTGCTGGGTTTGGGTGTCTGTGTCTCAGCTACTTCAGGATGCTGAGGACAGCTTTCTTCCACTTGCAAAGGCCTGCTGGGTGGTCCCTGTCTCGAAGAAGCTTGCTTGAAAACTGCTTACTCTTAGGCTTCGTTTTTGGCCAAAGTCAACCCCATAATATACCCCCTTAGTATTTCCTTTCTTTCCTTTCTTCCTTAGTATTTCCTTTCTTCCGTAGAGGACAAGGAATTCTGTCCTGAGGACACTGTGATGTGTTAACAAGGGTCAGTATAAGCATTTCCTTGGCTACGTCGATTAAGCAATTGATAAGCTTGTTAAAGGCTAGCAGAAGTATCCCAGCACTGTGAAGCAGAAATAGCTTTGAAGAGTATGCTATTGGTGGGAAGAATTATGCTAACAATGCTAGGTGAAATGGAGGTCTGAACATCTGAAAAAACACGGCTTAGCAATTTTGTAGTGTTAAACCATTCTGGGACCGACTCAAAGTAGACCAGATGGCTGGAGCACAAGGAGGATGCAGAAAGAGCAGCAAGCCAAACCCCGAACGCAAAAGGGGGAAGAAGTTGTTCCATTCTCGGAGCAAGATTCTGCTCTTAAGATCCAGTCCCGAAGCACTCTGCACTGTGGCTGCCAACTGTGCTGCGAACAGTGCATAATCAGAGCTCGTTGGGCTGCTGTGAGGATGACTGCTGTTTAACTACAACTTTCTACTTGCAGTTTTCTGCTGCGCAGACTCCCGTGGTTTACCAAATTAGCCCGCCATCTGGCATCCCAGGTAAGGGACCTTTCTTTAGGCTGGGGACCACTTTAATTATTATTTGATGTTCCATCCTATCTTTATTATTATGATGAGAGTTCTGTCTTGCTGGATTTAATGCAGGCTTCTTCAGAACGTAACGCCCAAGCTCATGCTGACCAGGAAAACGGGTTTGCAGAAGGGGTCTGTTCCTCTGGATACAAGAGAGATGGGTAGTGCACTTAATTGCTCATCAGTTGAGGTCCATCCTTGGTTTTAAGTGTTTTCAGGTGGAGTTCAGCTCTACATTCTCATGCCTTGCAATACAGTGTCTGTATACAGGTTTCTTAGCTGGATGCTAGGCTTCCCAAGGGACAACATGAGTAATGCCAAGTGTTCAGCTGAGAAAACAAAGCTATGTGGAGCTTGTGGATATGCTGCAGGACCAGAAAGACTTGTTCCTTTATGGACCCTCAGCGTGAGGATAAGGTGTATCAGATGATTTAAGCTATCTGTGCTGACAACTGAATCAACCTGGTACCCAGCATACTCAGTGGAGGGTTGGGAGTGATCCAACTGGCCGAATGGGGCGAGTTGAATTGTTCTTTGTGTTCTTACTGACCACATGAATTAGGTCTCTGCTGCCTATGGTGGGCTCAGAAAACAACACACATCACAGGATCTACATATTTATCTAAGGGGTAGATGTGCAGGTTAAAATTTTGCTCTCTGAATTGGTTTTGGTTCAAACTGCTTATTTGTTGTAAGTATTCCTTTGTTGTACTGTATGTTAAACTTTGATATTGTTGCTCTTACTTTAGACCCTGCTTTAAGGACTTAATTTTAAGCACGCGTTCTAGGGTGTCGAATGGCTTGTCCTAAAGGTTCAGTGGCTGCTGTGCACAACAGAGTGAAAATGGACTTTGTGCACAAACACCCAGTGCATGTTAGCGATGCCACTTTGGCTGCCTTGTGATGTTCTGCAGCAGCATTTGGTCAGGATGGTGCTTTCAGCTGATAGATGTTGAGGAAATGCCTTCAAAGTCCAAATACCAGAGTTTTGCTGGGGGAAAAAAAAAAAAAAAAAGGAATAATTTTTTTTTCAGTGAGAAAGGTGTGTTTTGGACTAAGAGGAATTAACACAGTCACCTTGAACTTGGATAGAGAGTAGATAAAGGTGCAGCCCACTGGGCACCTCTCTGCATTGTTTGCAAAGAATTTCTTCTGGAATTTCTTTTGTTCAGCTCACAAAATCTGCAAGTGTAAATACTCCACTTTTAAAAGACGCCCTTCTGTTTCCATTTCCTCTTCAACAGGAAATTTAATAGAGATCTATGGGAAGACAATTGCTGGGAGATATGAGACCCTGGACTTCAATGCGGATTGTATTGATGGGTAATTATATATGAGCTGCTACCCAACAAAGCCCCTGCAAATTGTTTTCTTCCACTGCATTCTGCAAGAACAATAAATTGCAACCAGTTGGCCCAGAATTGCCATTTACTGCTTTTGTGCTTTATTGCAGCTCATGAGTTGGGCTCCAGCAAACTTTGTTAATCTAATTGCAACTGGTCCATTAAGCTAGTTGGTTTGTTTACTGGCAGCACAGTCAATCACAGCTCAGTGTGAATTTACTGTAATTGCATCTGGTTGCTGTAGATTTTATTTTGGCTAGCAAATTAAAATTTAACTAATTAAAATAATGTCAGAATCTTCAAGTTAAATAAATTTTCCCTTCCATTTGCATTTCTAGAAATACTGTTAGTTTGAAGAAAAGGCTCTGGTGAGTCACAAGACAAAAGCAGAAGTCTGGGGACAGAAAGCTTTGTTTTTCCACTGCTTCAAAACCTCTCTGGTCACTTCTCTGTTTTCAAGGGAGGTTTGAATTTGTTTTCTGCTACTTCAAGGGTTGCACTCAACAGAGCAAAGTGGGTAGGCTTTCAAAATTTTCTTGAGAGAAAGCAGCATAAACTTGACCACTAAATGTTCACTGGAACAGGTTGCCCAAGTTGGCTGTGGATGCCCCATCCCTGCAGGCATTCAAGGCCAGGCTGGATGTGGCTCTGGGCAGCCTGGGCTGCTGGTTGGTGACCTGCACATAGCAGGGGGTTGGAACTGGATGAGCACTGTGCTCCTTTGCAACCCAGGCCATTCTATCATTCTATGATTTTGTAACTAGCCATTAGGTTGAATGGAAAAGTCTCTTGCTGAGCAACTCAGCTCTTTGCCACTGTGAATGAAAGCCCAGTGCAGATTCCTGCCATACCTGTTGCACCCATTTATCAGCCCCCACTGGATACACATTAGCATCCTTTTGTTTGATATTCATTACTGTTTTATCTGCCTCCAGTGGACCTGTGAAGCCTTCTATTGTTGGGAAGAAAGGCTGGTGTGCCTGCATGCTCCACTGCTGGATTACTCATTCACAGCTTGACCTCCCATAGCTAAAAAGGAAATGGCCTTGGAGTCTTGGCACACCAGGCGGGTTTACATCCCGGTTTCACATGAATACTTTGCCCATTTTTGGTTTGTGTATGTTCTAAGTATGTTCCAGGTGGAAACTTGCACTTGACCAGAGCTGTCTGCCACTCAGTAACACATTCAGATGGAGGAAAATAAACTTTTTTTTTTGTGTGTGATGTTTTAAAAGCATTGCATATGCCTTTTCAGGCTTTATATATCATACAGCGGTCCAGTGATGAGTTAATCATTTTTGCAGCAGTGATTGTTTTTCTGTTCATCCTTAGTAGCATTGCAGATGGAAACTGTGTGCTCATCAGAGAGAGGCAGGAATATATTTACTGGTGCAATACAGTACTTCAGCAAAGCTTACTTTTGTAACTAAGGCAGTGAAGAGTGGACCTCTTTGCTTTCTGAACGCCTTAAAACATGGAGGTAAGGGGCCCAGGTGTAGCTGGAGCCACTCCTACTCATGGATTTGGTCAACTATTTGAGGGCACAGTCAACCTGATGTGTAACCTTAGTGAAGCTAACAAATCTTAAACTACTAGTCACGTAACGAGGATCAGCATTGGCAGCTCTTGATGGTGAGGTGCAAGGGATCTTTGCATAAGGGTGATCCCAAGAGGTCTTCCTACTCAAGGGGAGATCCTTTCATGCACTTGGCTGCCATACAGGAGAGCTCAAGAGGCTCTTAGGCTGCTCAGTATTGATAGGGTAAGATGGTTGACTCGCAGTGTTTGATATATGCTGACCCATGTTGACGCATGTAGCTGCCATCAGTTCTTTCAGCCTGTAGTTTAAGGTGGATTTGAGGTCATTACAGGTCTTGGCAAGACCTAAATGTTATCAGTACTGTGCTCACTCTCTGCCTGAGCAAGGCCTGGGAGATAACAGCCAGGCAGAAGGAGGAAAATGGAAGGGGAGCACACTGTCACAGGTGTGGATCCTAGCAAAGGGAAAACCTCACTAGAGGTTTTTAATTACTTATTTGCCTTAATTGCTTGTTGACTCAAGAAACATTACCATCTTTTGCTTGTTATACTAAATACCGTGAATTTATTGTTCACACCTGATTCCTCCTCTCTACTGAAAGTTCTTTCCACTATCAGTTCTATAAGGTGGTGAATTTGATGTTAGGAATTTGAGTGTTTTCAAGTCATCTGTCTTTATAGCATCTTCTGTTGGTGAAATAAAGAAATGACTGAGCTGCATCTTGAAGCACTGTGGTTGTACCAGCCCAGTGCTTCTGGAAGGTAAGGGTCTGTCTGGGACTCAAACCACCAATGCTTTGTGTTGTCCAAGGTTAGCATTGGTGTCTTGAAGATGGGTTTTATCACAATCCTTATGAACGTGCAATATTTAATGTGTATACTTTACAGGGCAAAGTGTGTGTGTATATGTATATATATAGAATATATATGAAGGCAGCTCTGAAAGTAATGCCTCCTATTTTATTATGATCTATGACATCAGAGGCAGATGTTGCTGGTGTGGCAGTAGGGTTTGAACCTTCCCATCAGTATCTCATTGCATTTTATTGCTGTGTGACAGACAGCAGCAGAGGGGCAGTCTGACAGGATAGCATCTGACATGGAGGTACATATGAAGCAAAGGTGTTTCACTGAATTCCTCCATGCAGAAAAAATTACACCCACTGATACTCATTGATGCTTGCTAGATGTTTATGGAGACCAACCAGTGGGTGTGAAGACAGTGAGGGGTGGGTGGTGTGGTTCAGCAGTGGAAACAACAACACTGGGTCACCTCTGCTGGTGCAGATTTTTGTGGGCATGGAATTAATCTCTACTGAAAATGCATGGTTAATGCTAGCAATTACGTTCGAAATAGCATTTTGTAGCTGAGAACTGGCTCTGTCAAAGTGTTATTGCATCATTTATATCTGTAATAGTTTCCACAGAAATAAGTAGGAGGCATTACTTTTGGAGCAATCTACATATGCACAAGTAATATATACACATACACACAAAACCAAATAATTTGGGCTCATCCTGTTTTCTAGGTTAATAAAGGCTAGATACAAGCAAGGGAGTACTGCTGGCTCTTTTGAAAATACTGCTTGCTGATTTTAACAGAATCACAGTTTCATAGAATCATAGAATTGCTCAGGTTGGAAAAGACCTTAAAGATCGAGTCCAACTGCAACCTACCTGTAACAACCCTCTGCTAAATTGTGTCCCTGAGCACCACATCCAGGTGGTTTTTAAACACATCCAGGGCTGGTGACTCAGTCACCTCCCTGGGGAAGCTGTCTTATGTCTCATCTTTCTTTCTTCTTTTCCCTAGACCAGCTGTTCTTGTGGCAGAAGGAGATGGATGGACCAGCCTCTGCTCTTTTGCTGACGGGCACGCAGGAAGCATGTCAGTTGTTGACCTGCCTTGGGTTTGTGTTGGTGTAAGGCTTCAGCATGTCTTGTGCATCAGGATTTTCTTGGCCTTTCAATCAACTTCTCAGTTTTAGCATAATGAAGAAGGACTTTGGGAAGCTGACCAGTCAGATAGACTGGGTGAGGGCTGCTGGCTCGCTGTAGTTCCAACCCTCTGGTTATGACCATCCAACCAATTCTTTATTCTTCAAACAGTCCAGACTTAAATCCATCTCTCTCCAATTTAGAGATAAGAATGTAGCGCAGGACCGTGCCAAAGGCCTTGTGCAAGTCCAGATGAGCAACAAAATTTGCCTCCCCTTTGTCATTCCACCACAAAAGACCCCCAGACTGGCACGGCCTTCCCTTGGTGAAGCCATGCTGGCTGTCTCAGATCACCTGCTCATCCCTCATGAGCCATAACGTGTTCCAGGAGGATCTGCTCCATGATCTTCCCAGGCACAGATACGAGGCTCACTGGCCTGTAGTTCCTCAAGTCTTCCTTCTCCCTTTCTTATAAATAGGAGCGATGCTTCATTTTTTCCAGTCTCTGGGGACTTTGCCTGACATCTGTGACTTTTCAAATATGATGGAGAGTGGCTTGGTGACCAATCTGCCAGGAAAAGGGCTGAGGAAAAGGCAGGTGATGCTCTGCTTACCCTCTGCACTACTGCAGGACAGCACTGAGTGCAAAGCTCACAGTTGCTGGACAGTATTTCTATGCTGCTGTGGTGAGAATGTGACACAGCAAACACAGCTCAGCCCATGTTTTTCTGCTGTGCTTCTCTTAGTGTCTGTGAGTCTTGGAAAAACAATGCTGTTGCTACAAGGAAATGAGGAAAACGCCAGTGAAATCAGTGCCAGGGCTTCTCAGTGAGCCCTCTTATTGGGTTGTAAAATTCCTCCTGCCTCCCAAGAGGGGAACTTAAATGCAAATTGTTCTGTTGATGATGGAACTTGTTGTTGCATGGCTCCCAAAGGTTGATATAGCACCAGCATAGCTTGCTTAATTGCTACTCGTTCCTACTTGCAGACTGGGGGCATGCAGAGCAATTAAGAGAGGCATCAGAAAGTGCTGTCTTTTCTGGGAGCTTTTGCCTAGGAAAAAAAGCCCACAGTCTGTCCTACTGGTATAGTTGAGTATTAAGGATGGGAGGAGGTGTGGAAATGTCTCTGGAAATACTCATTTATTGCCTATTCTCAATGCAGACTGTTTTAAAGTTAGGTCCTCAGTTGTACAAATCAGAGATTTGGTGCTGATCTAGGTCTGATCCTCCATCTCTTCCACTGTCTAGAAGTGGGCAGTGTGGTCACTTTACAAATCCTTGCAAACCAGGCTTGGAGTGGGGTTTGGTTACCAAAATCCCATTGATTTGCTCGGAAGTTTGGCGTTCAAATCCTGTTGAGGATCCAGCCTTTACTGCAGCAAGGGAGGTGCTGGTTGGACCTTGGATATCAGGAAGTTTCCCTGCCCATAGGAGAGCAGCTCTGGGAGCAGCCTGCATGCATTCCCTGCAGCGCAGTGCCAACTGTGCTGTCTGCATTCCCCAAGCAGGAAATCCTTCTGATGCTGATAAGGAGTGGGTTTAAAATGTGAAACCACAGATGTAGCCAACTTGTTCTGTATGTGGTTGGACGAATTATAGTTTAAATTTGCACAGATCGTGCCATTGCATCATTGATGTCCCCCTGCCCTCCCCAGGTTGTTTTCCCCTTTAATGCTGTTTCCCATCTTGCCAGCAATCTCTGACCTCCTGCTCAGATGTCAGCTCCCTCTGTCCTATGCAAGTCTTCTCCTTCCAGAGGTGTGGCTTTAAATTGCCCTTCTCAAGTTTAGAAGCCAGGCTTGTCTTCTCTAGCTCATATTTAAAATGGGATTTCTGCAATCCAGTGGGATCACCTTATCAAAACAAGGATAAAGGGGGCAAATTAGAGCGATGGGATGCATCGTCCTAAGCTGCCGATGGTCTCTTCTCCCTTGTTTCTAAAGGGAAGTGAGCATAACTAACTCAGATGTGAAAGCTCGCATCTCTGGTTAAATGCTTCTCACTGTGCTTTGATTTTTTGCACCCAGGCTAAGCAAAGCCCTTTGTTTCTCACCAGCTATTCCATTCGGATAGAAGAAGGACTGGGAACCATGCAGTGCCGGGTGGAAGGGAACCACATAGGTTGGTGAAAGCATTGGGGTGTGTGGGAGAGATCATAATTCTGCTACTCCTGCAGCTCTAGAGGAGCCATTATTTTTTCCTTTATTATTTTATTTCATCTTGTATATGATGGGCTTAAGAGATAATGGGGGTCTTGAAGGAGCTGCTCACCTTCCTGGCATGGCAAGTGAGGTTGGATAGAATCCACAGGATCTGAGAGGAATTTTTCCCCTGAGGTTCAGCTTGCAGATTCAGATATGTAAGAGCAGATCCATACAATGTAGTATAATCTAAGGCTGGGAGCTTCCTGCTTTGATGTTCAATTCAGCTGAAATGTGATTGAATATTGCCTCCAGTCTCTCCACTAGAAGAGAGGGATCTCCTGTAGGTCCTGTGCCACATCTGTCAATCCTGAGCAATTTCTCCACTACCCCCAGGGAATTTGGTTCTTGAAACCTGTATATAAACCACTGAATTCAGCCCCAGTTACATGTAGGAATAGGAATTTAGATGTCTTGAGTTGTGAGTTGAATCCTGCTCCTGGAACTTTCCTGAAGTGATGCAGCAGTAATGGATGTGCACCAAATAAAGACTTGCAGATTGTTTCAAGGGATTACTGGGTTTGTTGAGAACGGGGGCAGGATGTCTGGACAAGGTTTGGTAGGATGTTCTCTTCCTAAAGCTCTCCATGCTATAAAAGCACATTTCTTTTCTCTCCCCCAGGGTCCCACAATGTCAGCTTCTCAGTGTTTAACAAAGGAAAGTGAGTAAAAGATCCTTTTTTTCTCTCTCTTTTTTTTCCCCTGTCGTTTCATACGGGAGCACAGTTGCACTTCTGAGTCCAGGATGAGGGCATGAAATTTAATCAAAACTTGTGTTTCATTACTTAGACCTGAGGTTTTGCTGGTTTGAGAATACAATCATCAGATTAGGAATGAAAAGGGAGTGTGTTCCTCCCCCGAGGCATCTCTGTGATTCTAATACTTCAGCTTCAGTGCCCAAAACAGACGTAATCCAAGTCCAGCTTAAATAAAAGTGTCCAACCTTGCCAAAGCAAGGTCTGCACTAACTAAAACGGTCAGGGATCTCTAACACAGCTCTCTCTCTTGCAGGTCAGTGATAGACAAAGATGCTTGGCTCATCAGTGCCAAGCAGGAGCTTTTCTTGTACCAAACGCATTCAGGTATTGCATTGACCCACCCCACTGCTTGCACTGTGCCATGGCAGTACCAGCATTGTCTGTGGAAGACCTCTGGTTGTTGCTCTTCCCAATGTGACTTCATTTTAACATGTAGTTCTACTGGTGTGATAAGTTTTGTGGTGGGCTGACTACACACAAAGCTGCAGGCCAAAAATTTCAGCTATATATATTTATATGCTGAGGTTGGGTGTGCTGCCATGGGCTGTGTTCTAAATCTCCAGTGAGTTTGTGCTCCTTTTAATGATGTCTTTGAACACTCCTTTGGACAGCCTAATCTGAGAGTCAGCCAGGGTTTGGAATGGAGCTGCTATCGTTATTCCTTGTCTTGTCAGACTTGACATGTTGGATCCAAAGGGACTTTATGTCACCTTCCCCCTGAATCATACTGTTTGGTACAAATGCAGTGCTGGCCATAAAAGACTATAACATAGGTCTTTGGATAGGCTAGTTCACCAGCTGCAAGGTGATGTTCAGCCACTCCAAGAGTTGGGATCTGGATTAAAGGCTGCTGAATAGCAGGTTGCTGCACTGTTAGTTTAAAAAGATGTGGACCAAGGCACTTTATAACTTCCACATGACATCTCTGGCTATGGTTAGAAGTCCTACCATGCTTCTGTCATTATTTGCCTTTGTTTTGTCAAGGGGCTGAAATTAATATAATAATAGTAATGACCTTATAGGCTGTATTTTGGGAGCATGGTTCCAGAGATAACAATTTATTCTTTTCTTTTAAAGAGTGCAGCCAATGCATAAATAGATTTTGTGTATTGTTTATAGCATACGACTTGTTTCACCTATCTATTCAGAACACTTTGTAAAAGAGGGTAATTTTATATCCTTACTTACAAATGGAGTAACTGTGTGTGGAATTAATTGTTAGCAGAGTACCTGGAGAAATGAGGTCTGCCAGGGCTTTCCAATAGGCAGTACTGCAGTAGCCAATAGTTAACGCTGCCAAAGTGAAGTTAAATGTAAGTGAAAAAGTTAAGAAAAGAAAATGTAAACCTGGACAAGCTTCTCTCATGTTTTTAGTCTATTTTTTCAGATGATGAAAAAAAAAAAAAAAAGTTTGTTTAAACTAGGATGCATGAGTGAAAAGTGAGTCAACCTCAACAAAGAGAAAAATAGGTTTCCAGTGTGGGATGGGATGACTGTAATAAAGATCAGATCCTGTAAGATTCTCATAGCCACAACGTAGATATCCACCATCTGTTCACCTCCCTGTGTTCATCCCTATGGGACAACTGGAAAGTGCAGTGACACCTAAACCTATGGGCTAAACTGGGAGACGAGTCAGGCAAGGTCAAAAGGATTAAAGCGGCCTTAAGGTCACTTTTCTTTCCAGAGCTCCTCAGTAGCACAGAAGATATGGTTTACAATCTGAGCATGACAGATGCAGTCACTGCTAAGTCACAGCCCAGGCATTCTGGTATTTTCCTGTTGTGTGGCCAAGTTACCCGAGTGGTTCATTCCTGCTGTAATCTCAGTGGCTGCCGAAATCGCAGTGAAGGATCAGCGAAGCCTGTTTGATTCACAGGAGTCTGGTTGGAAAGAGTGCAAGTGCACTGCTGGCTTTGACAGAAATAGGGCTGGGGTTCATCTTTCCTGTGCTTGTTTTCAGATCCCCCTTTTTCCTTCCTCTGCAGAAATAACCTCTGTGTTCCCAGCGGCTGGAAGCCTTGCAGGAGGAGCTGACCTCACTATTACAGGGGATTTTTTTGAGGAGCCCATGCAGGTCACTGCTGCAGGTAACAGGAGAAATGAGCTGAGGGTTTTTGTAAACATCCAAAGCCCATTCAACCCAGCTGGTCTTCATGTGCAGTGGTAAGATGGGAGTTGTACTCAGCATCAAAGAAAATCTATTTGGGCTATGGGAATCAATGATTTTTCTAGGTTGACCGTACAAATAGAGGCTTCTAGCAAATCATTGCTGTCTTTTGGAAATGAAAGTGGGTTTATTGCTACAGGCTGCCCAGGGAGAGGTGGTGTCACCATCCCTGGAGGTGCTCAGGAGCTGTGGAGATGTGGCACTGAGGGACGTGGTCATTGGGCATGGGAGGGGATGAGTTGGAGTTGGATTTGGTGGTGTTGGAGGTCTTTTCCAGTTGTAATGGTCCTCCCATTATTCTGCAGCTCAGGCATTTCCAACTCTCAGTGGCACATTTGTCTCCTTTTCCTGCTGCCAGGTGTCCCCTGTAAAGTCAAGCATGTCTCTCCCAGGCAAATCATCTGCACCACTGAGGCTGTTGGCAGGAGCAGGATGCTTGGTGGCCCCCAACCAGGTACAGTGTTCTAATAACCAAAAGTCTCAACAGATCAACACATGTGGAAACAGAGAGAAATCATCAAGAAACTTCATTTTCCAAAACATCAGGCTAGTTTATCTTAGGCTCGTAGCAAGGAAAGGCGAAACCGAAAGCTCAGCCCTCTGCCTGCAGATGGCCGATGGTGGGAGGAAGGTCAGCCTTAGGGCTGGGAAAAATTAGGGGGAAAAGTATGAATGATGTTTAGGGGATAGAATGGAGAAGCTGCTGTAGAGATGGAGACATTGCCTGGGTAGAACGTTGCAGTAGGAAATCACAGGGCATGTAACGACGCTCGACTTATGTTGCCTGTGCATCAGTTTGGTGTTTCTTCCTCTGAGAGCAGTCATCTTAGGTTTTTTGGAAGTAGATTGGTCTTGGCAGATTTTTGTTCTTACTGGTGGAGGATTTCAAGGCACAATGAATTTCCTAAAGTGGGAACAGTATTCTACCTCGTAGAATAAAAAAATGAAGGAAAAAAAAAAAAAGTACCCCACAGATGGAGCCAATTTATTAATTGGTTATTAATTAGCCTCCTTGCACCACCAATTCTAGCATATGTGCTCTGGGATTGTTGTTGGCTGCTGCTGAGAACGCTTCTCTTTTAACTTTGTAGGAAATCGAGGGCTTCTCTTTGAAGTCTGGGATGATGCCTCTGATCTGACAGAAGCAGGGCCTGGATATAGATGGCAGTTTGTACCTAATGCCCAATCCCCAGTAAGATTTCTGTCTGCAGCAAAGCAGTCCTTCAGGTACTCGGTGATTTTAAAGGGAGATGAAGCTGTGGCAATCACCTTTAGTAGTGTAAGGTGTAGCAATAACACCTGACAGCTCTTTTCAGCAGAGCCTGACTTCATAGCTCCCATAAATCAAAGCAAACCCTCTGCTCTGAGGTCCTTTTGAAGCTCAACATATTCAGCAAAGTACTTTATTTCCTCCCTTTTTTGCTTTCCCTTGGTGTTTCTGTTATGCTTGGCCTAGATGTGCTGAAATAGCATGAAATAAATTGCTGTAGAGGTAGAAGGAACTCTACTTAGACGCTGCCTTGGGTTGGAGATTTGGTTATGTCCATAGCCCATGTTGGCAACTGCAGCCATAGATTATCCTCAGTTCTATGAAGATGTTTGAGCTGTGTTGGTGCCTCTTGGGATGTGCCTAGGAAGAGCTTTGCAACATGCTGGGCATTTCCATTTTTCTATCACTTCTGTACTTTTCTCAGTTGATCCTGAGGGCTTTTGAGCGTTTTCCGTCCTGCTGAGCAATAAGATTTTGCTTGAGAAGGAACACATAGAAAAGACGATGGCAACAACAAAGCCATGCTTATCTCCATGTTACTCAGTATACGTGTGGAGGTTGGGTGCTGGGTGGCAGGGATTTTACATTAACTCTTGTGTATGTTATGGGCGTTCTGCTTTTGCTTAGCTCCAGGCTTCGTGGATTTTTTGTGGCTCCTCAGACCAACAATTACACCTTCTGGATTCAGGCAGATGGTCCGGCATCTCTGTACTTGAGTTCATCCCAAGACCCGCAGCATAAGGTATTTCTCTTAGCAGGGAGAAAAATAAGGCTGTTATGATACGGAAGGGCTTTAATTAAGGATATTTCAAGTGGGGGATTACCCCAGCATGGATTGCCTCGTTGGCCCCTATTATGCATCTGTTGCCATGTGACACTTTCTGTGATGTTATTTGACATTGTACATCTGGCCCTATTGGCCATTTGTCTCATGGAACATAAGCCGTTGTCTCTAGAGTCTTCAGATGTCTTTTCCTGCAGACATTTTCATCTGGTTTCAGGCTTGTGAGCTAGAGAACTGCAGCCATCTCTGAAAATCTACACGAGGAATTGTTAGTGGGGCTTATAGGGTCAGCCATAAGAATTGTCTTGTTTATGTTATTGAGCCCTAAATCAAAGATCTTTGAGGTGATGGCTTTTTGCTGCAGAATGGGAAAGAATGTATTGAAACATCAACCCACTGCTGTCAGCTATAAGCACAGCTCTGGTTTTGGAGCTGAAGGTACCGTATTTTGGTGTTGTGAAACTGTCACTGGTTTGGTTCATCTGGACACAGGTGAGAATTGCTTCTCTCCCATCTGGCAATTTGGAATGGTCTGGGAAGTGGGTGAAGAACTGGAGTGAGAGTTGGCAGCCAAAATCCCAGAAATTTGAGCTAACTGCTGGCCTGAGGTACTACTTGGAAGCACTACATCATGGAAAGGCACCCAGCAATGGGATGAGAGTTGGAGTCCAGATACACAACACGTGGCTGAATCCCCAGGTGGTGAACAACTACTACATTGAGAGACATGAAATTCGGGCTCATGCCTTGTATCTTCCAGATGTACAGGTCAGTGCTGTGTACTTGACCCCTGTTGGACAGGGACTTTGGCCTAGATGACCTCCAGAGGTCCCTTCTAACCTCAAGAATTTCATGGGATGTAGACTAACCCTGATTCATTGGGCTCGGATAGATCCTAATGTGAAGATCTTGTCACTTAGACACGGCAGTGCGTTCCCACTTTTGGTGGTAGAGTCAACATCCCAGGAGGTGTTCAAGAAATGTTGTACTGTGGAATGTGGTTTAGTGGGCAACATTGGTGGTAGGTGGATGATTGGATCAGATGATTGGCCTGCTGATTTAGTTGATAAATGCTACCACGTAGCTGAAGGTGTTTGTGACTTTCACACTCGTTGCCAGGTGGATGTTTTTATGGTGCATTATAATTTGCTCGTGTGTAAAGTGCGGTCTGGTTTTACCTTGCTTGTTACCTTGTTCTTGATGCTAATTCATGAAAGTTTGGGGTATTTTCAATTTTTTTCCCTGCTAGTTGACATCACACTCAGAGGGTTCATGTTGACCACTCAAAGAGTCAAGAGATCAGCTCTGTGTGGCAATTGGGTGATATAAGCTTTCAGCTTTCAGTGCTCAGTGGTGTGGGAAGTTGTCATAGAATCCTAGAATAGCTTGGGTTGGAAGGGATGCGAAAGATCATCTAGTTCCAACCTCACTGCTATGGGCTGGGTGCCCCCCACCAGCTCAGGCTGCCCAGGGCCCATCCATGGCCTTGAGCACCTCCAGGGATGGGGCACCCACAGCTCTCTGGGCAACCTCAGGGCTGCAGTCAGGACCACCTGTGGCTATCAGTGTGTATCCCTCGTGCTCCTGTTAATTTGGGAACAGAAACCCCAGGCACGTGTCAGGAGAGTCCACGGAGAGCAAGCACAGTTTAAGAGTAGCTGAAGGGATTCTTTAATATTAAATTTATTACAGAAGCTTTGAAAGGGCAATATGTTTGCTATGAATTCATAGCAGACTTGACTTCTTTGTGTCTCGTGAGAATTGTACCTGTTCTCATCTATTTGTTTCTTCACTTGGCAGATGCTGACTGTGTCTGGCACGGGGTGGTTCAGTATCTCCTGGAGCAATGCACCCCGCAGAATGATCCACACAAATTCCACTGCTCTTCAGGTAAGTGTCTCACCCTAAAGGATTTTAGACCTGGAAGTTTAGGCTCTGTCAGTACTGAGCTGAATAGAGGCAATGCAGCTGTGACAGTGTGAAAGATGAGCCAAGCATCATTGTACTGTGACCACTTCTCTCTTTTTGTTTTTAAAGGTCCAAGCAGCAATAGAGGAACTTCTTTCAGTTGGGTGTGACATTGGGCCGACTTCTGCTAAAATACTCTTCCATGATGGCTTTGAGAAAGGTAGTCATGTAACAAATAAGTATTTACTGTGCGAGTCATTTTCTGAAATAAATGTACTCAAAACCTTCAACAGTAGTAATTTTATGATTTACTGGATTTAATTGTATTTATTCTAACGAGATATAGTACATAGAACTAGTATTACAAACATGATCGATGTATTAATGAGAGTCTTCCTGCAATAATTTCCGTGGCTGAATCATGCAGCAAGAAGCTGATCAGAGCAGTGGTTTCAGTGGTTGGCAGCATTAGTACAGACAGAAAAGGCAAGTCAAGTCTTTGGGCATGTGAAATTATTCATGTTTCATAATGAGTGCTGGGGAAGCAGATCTGGAGCAGCCCAAAGCGACAGCTCAGGCTATAGCCTGATGATGAGTCTTTTGTTTTTGGTGCTTCCCAATGGCTGAAAAAGTGAAAATCTCTGCTACACTTGACATTCAGGCAAGTGTTATATAAATAATAGTAATAAAGATACACCATTATTATTATTTTTTTTTAATACTGAAGTATTACATCAGAAACTAATTCCATTTCATATCTCTGGTTGCAGTAAAATATACTTAAATATGCCAGGAAGTCAACGATTGCCTACAGACCTCACAATACATCCTTGGACTTAGTGTAGACAGAGAGAAAATGACCCAGCCAGTAATATGTATGTTTGGTGACTGACTCATCTAAGCAGAGGAAGGGAATTAATTAAACTGGGGAGAGGGGGAAGCTTTAGGCAAAAACTAGAAACATCAGTTGGACATTTTTTGTCTAATTATGTGATCTCAGTGCTCCAATTTTGCCAACAAAAGAGTTGTGCCAGGGGAGGATCAGCCTGGATATTAGGAAAGAATTCTTTGGAATAGTGGTTGAAGACTGGAATGGGCTGCCTGGGGAGGTGGTAGAGCCAACATCCCAGGATGTGTTCAAGAAATGTTGTACTGCGGAATGTGGTTTAGTGGGCAACATTGGTGGCAGGTGGATGATTGGACCAGATATTTTCCAACTTTAATGATTCTACAATTCTATGAAGTATTTTCAGCTCTATGACTTTCATGTGCATGTTTGTTTTTTTTTTCCATGGGTGTACCTTCAATGTATCTACCAGCAGAGATTCCGACAGCTCCAGCACCCATTGTGTAAAGAATCACGGTTGCCTCCTTTACATATTTTCTCTTCATTTATATATTAAAGACTATGAACTTCACATGGCAGTTTTTTCCTCTCATTTTGACAGGAAAGATGATTTACCAGTGTCTACTGTAGGAAGAAAGCCTGTTTTACGCTAGAAATGAGAAATCCTAGCAGGTTTTTGGTAACAAGGTTGATAACTCAATGGAACAGAAGTCCAAAAAGTGAGGGCAGGTTATCAGTTGCTTAAATATATCAATCTCTAACTTTGCCCGAGTGGTTTTAGGAAAGGAAGGGTGGTTTCAATTGGTCATTCTCTATCTGGCTTAAGATGGTAGCATTTTCCACAAGGTTTTCTGGTCAGGACTGGGATGTAATGATTAGTGTAGTATGGTCAGTTTGCAGTTGGACTTGATGTGTTCTTTGAGGTCTTTTCCAGCCATTCTATGATCTATCCTGCCTTTCAGTACCCTTAAACTAGGGAACAACTGCCCTGTGAATGTTCATAACTTATCTAGGCAGAGCACTGAGGAGCAGAACTGCTAGATACAATTGTTTTGGACCTCTATTTTTTGTCATTTCCATGAAAACTTTGACTGTACTTATTTTCCTTGTTTTCTGAATCCTCGTTAAGCCTTTCGTCCTGTTTTGTTTTGTTTCCTTCAGGTACAGAAAACTCTGTCACCACAGAACACGTTGTCTATGGAACAGAGCCATTCTGTGGGAGGTTCAGTGCTCGCAGCCCAAGCCAGCTGGTGAAAGCTTCTCCATCATCTCCACAAGGATACGACCTTACTGAGTACACACATGTAAGCACCTGCTCTTGCTGAGTAAATTGTGATTATAAACACTGCTATGTTTACATGAAAACATTTTTCTTCATTTTCTTTGCAGGTTTGTTTTGCACATAAAGGCCACATGAGCAACATCCTTCATATCTCAGTGTCCTACACCAACCTTTCCTTATGTTCAGTGGAAAGAAACCTCACCTGCCAGTGGGATTTCGATGGAACTGACCCCACAAGGTATCTAGGCACGGTGCACAGAGATGGCATTTTCCAAAGTAAGAGGGTTTCTAGGAGAATGGGGAACAGAAAGTTCTTGTTTGTCTGAAATGATGGTTGCACTGGATGATCTTATAGGTCTTTTCCAAGCTTGGTGTTTCTGTGATTCTGTGAAAAATAAATTGTCAGATGGATGCTCTGTCCTGTGCTGACATACCTGGAATGTACTTCTGTTGTTTTTGAGGACTATATGAAGAGATGGGCACATTACTTGTTCTAGCAAATATTTCACCATAGTAAAGCACACTGGCCTGGAGAGTTTGATCTGTCTATAGTTAGCAAAAATTACCAGGAATTTTCTGTAGATGTTAACTTCTTGGTTTTTTGGCATCATTCAGTGGATTTTCTGATATGAGACAAAAATGAAGTTGTTGTTTTTTTTTTTTCCCTAGGGAACTTGTGGTTCCATTAGAATGTAAAGCTTGGAAAGTGGGTGTAGCTCTTGATTTTGTGTATTTCAGCTAGAATATGTGAGTGCAAAACGCCACAGATGGAGAAGACTGTGGGCAGAGTGAAGTTGGGGGCAGGCACATCTTAAGAAAACAAGCACGCAAACAAAAAATAAAATAAAAAAAAAATCCAAACCAGCAATCTGAAGAACTTCAGAAAGTGAAATTGGAATCTTAGCTTTCATAGAATCACAGGATTGCTTGACTTGGAAGGGACCTTTGAAGGCCATCTGTCCAACTCCCTGCAGTGAGCATGGACACCCACAGCTCCATCAGGGCTCAGAGCCCATCCAGCCTGACCTTGGCTGTCTGCAGGGATAGGCATCCCTCACATTTCTGGATTGGGTCTTTGTCTTCCTCACCCTGTCCCCACACAGGCTAGCAGCATCCCTGTACTCCTCCCAGGGTGCTTGTCCTGTTTCCACTGCCTGTGCATGTTCTTCCTGCTCTCCAGTTTGACCAGCACTTCCCAGTGCAAACTTCAATCCTGATGTCACCAGTCATTCACTGGTGTTGATGAGCAGTAGGTCCAGTACTGCTTCCCCTTTGATGGGGCTGTCTATTACCTGGCTCAAGAAATTATCCCTGATACACACCAGGAGCCTCCTGGGTTACCTGCAGGTCACCATGCTATGCTTATTGATTGGATCCTCCCATTTCTTTCTGCGTTCTGTAAGGCTGAGTGTGAGCTGTGTGTGTGCCTCTGGAAAACAGGACGGGGGTTCATATGACATTACTGCACGATGGAAAGAAATAGGGACCTTGATTAGTTGTCTAGAATTCCCAAGGGGCATAAGCTTGATATTGATCTCTGTAGAAGAGGATGCTGAAGCAGGGATCTAAAGCTTTATATCTTCCTGAGAGACCTGTTGAGTGATCAGATGTTGTGTGTAGGTAATAATAGCATCATCTGAGTTCATTTCCAAATTCATTCACTGTAACTACCAAGCAATAAAACAAAGGCTGTACCACCTTGGTGTCTTCCAGCTGGACGTTCTCCTGCACTGACCTCTGGATGGGGTGTGTGAGTCATTCTGTGCCCCTCCAGGACCTTCCCATCAACACCCCGGTGTTTGTACATCAGATTGACTTGCTGAGCATCCAGCAGAAGGAAACAGCTGGGTTGTTCTGCCTTGATGAAGTCATCATCGCTGACAGAGCTGTGACTGGTAAAGGAATCCATTTATTCTTTCCTGTCAATGTTGTGGTCATAGAATCGTATCACAAAATGGCCTGGGTTGAAAAGGACCACAATGCTCATCTGTTTTCAACCCCCTGCTATGTGCAGGGTCACCAACCAGCAGACCAGGCTGCCCAGAGCCACATCCAGCCTGGCCTTGAATGCCTGCAGGGATGGGGCATCCACAGCCTGGGTGTTTCCATATTCCTTCATACAAAGCTTTAATGACAGAGCTAGTTAAAACTATTTCAAAGGGGAAGGCTGTTTCATAACAGGCACAAATCTTTTTTTTTTTTTTTTTTAATTTTTGTGGAAAGAAATATCAAGAACTAATTGCCAAACATCAACATTCTTGGTTTATTTGGAAATATTTCTATATCGAGCTGTTGCTCAAACAAAAAGCACTTCTTCCCCAAACCAACAAGATCCCAGCTCTAAAATGGAAATAACCCAGGCATGATTACATCTGTTCCCCTGACTCTGTTGGATACTCTTTTTTTCCTTTCAGTTTCTCAGAGGGATCCTAAACCACGTCGGCTGGGTGGGCGGATAATAGAAGCAGTAACTGTGGTGGGGTCTTCTCCTACTTACAATGTGTCCTGGCTGGTGTCTGGCTGTGGTGCAAGTCTGCCTCTTCTCTCCCTAAGGTAGGCACAATGTGATTCTTTCATATCCTGTAATAATCATTACAAATTCCCACGGAGCCCTTTATCATCTCAGAGGCTGTGCAGAGTAAATCTGGTCCAGGTTAGAAATCTGTGTACTTCCTTTGGCATTTTCCTCTCTAGGTGTCTTTGTTCAGACTCTGCTCAGATAACTTCACTAAGATGTCTACAGTGCATGTGAGATGCATCTTCCCCAAGATGTCTGCAATGTTCTCAAGCTCCTAAATGCTGGACATAACTTGAACATGCATTGTAGGTGTCTTAATGAGGGTATCTGTCTCTGGTGTTGAGGTTCCATTGTGTGATTGGGTGTCAGTTGCCTAAACTAAGGTGTTCCACATGCCCTGGGATATCCCAGAATCATGGGGATTGGAAGAGACCTCTGGAGATCATCTAGCCCACCCTCTGCTAAAGCATTTTCACTGGGTTGCATAGGAAAGTGTCCAGGTGGATTTTGAATACGTCTAGAGAAGGAGACTCCACAGCCTCTCTGGACATCCTCTGACACATGGTAAGGAAGATCCAGTCTTCCCATGTTCCAGTTTGTGCCCATTGCCCTTTGTCATTACTGGGCACCACCAAAAAAAGCCTGGCCTCATCCATGTAATACCTTTTATTTATAAGCTTTGATAAGATTCCTCCAAGCCTTCTCTTCCCCATGCTGAACAGCCCCAGGACTCTCAGCTTTTCCTCAAAAGGGAGATGCTCCAAGCTCTTCACCATTTCTGTAGCTGTAAAATACATAGTGGTCCCTAAAGTACATATGAGCTACCAAGGATGTTGGGCTGTAGGGAACCCTTAGCCCTTTTTGGAGATGAAGACATTCCCTCCCAGTAACTCTGACACCAGTTGCCATGTTGAGCAATGGAGGCCCACCTTGTGTCCTTGTTTACTGAGATGGTTTCTGTTCTCTGAGTCCCCTAATATATTGAGGCAGAAGCACAGGTTAATCAGGTCAGAGAACAGCTTTCAAATGCCAAACTGGCAAAGAATCCGACTTTTACAGGGCTTGTATCCTGCTGACTTGGGAATGACCTGATGGGACCAGGACCAGTGCAAGACAGAGACTGGAAAGATGGGGTGAAAAATTCACCCCAAAGTGAATGTTTAGATGTTGTCATGAGGGGATGTGGTTTAGTGGGGAAATGGTGGTAGGTGGATGGTTGGACTGGATGGTCTTGGAAGTCTTTCCCAGCCTTGGTGATTCTGTGATTCTATGAACTAGCACAGCATAGAAGGGTTTGTCTTTTTAAAAGTCTCACCTTGAAAAAGCAGAGTTTAATTGCTAGTGTCAGATGTGGTATTTTGGCACAAACCACCAATGGTGAAGACAAGGATGAGAATGAAGGGAGATGTCTGAGGTTTGCTTTTAAGTAGAGGCGCAATCAAGGGAGAAGGGATGCTTTTAATTCTGCGTGCAGCCCTAATGAGGCTGGCGCTGGAATGTTACATGCAGCACTGAGTGCATTTGTCAAAGGGCTTTGGGAGAACTGGGAAAGAAAGCCATCAGCATGATTATGGAAGTGAGGAATATGCCTTGGAGGGAAAGGCGTAGGAGGCTCAGTGTGTTCAGCTTATCAGAAAAGAGGATTAAGAGATAAATTGATTACAGTCCCTCTCGTCAGGAAGAAGGGCTCAGTTCTGCATCTCAGAGGGAGGTGGAGGAGGAATTGAGGTGCGGTGCTGACGCTGGGTAGATAGAAAATGGAAATGATGGAAATGGAAATGGCTGCGCTGCTCTTTGGGTATTTTCAAAACCAAACTGTTTTCTTCTTAACTGAGCACGTACTGTGTGGTGCTTCAGTGCACCTTTCTGGGGTCGGGGAGGAGTATGATCTAGACGTGATGTGCTCACTGGCTGCTGCAGGTCAGACAGAAGACCCAGTGCTCCTTTGAGATACGGATTCGTGGAATCGGCTCTGTAGGATTTCGGCTGAGCTGGGAGATGTGAGCTGTTCTCCGTGCTCTTAACCACACGGTGGCATCGTTGTACCACAGAAAGTCCTTTTTTTCTTGGAGGAAGAAGAAAGGGAGAGAATTTTATTGGTGTGGAAGGAAATATTTTAAGTTATAGAAAATTAGGCTTTGGATGACTTCTAATGTGAAATAGCAAACTCTGCTTGTAGGGAGCACCCCCCTATGAAGACAGGCTGAGGGAGCTGGGCTTGTTCAGCCTGCAGAAAAGAAGGCTGCAGGGTGACCTCATTGCAGCCTTCAGTACCTAAAGGGAGCCTAAAACAGGAGGAGAATCAACTCTTTGAAAGGGTAGATAACTGCAGGACGAGGGGAAATGGTTTTAAGTTGAAGGAGAGAAGATTGAGGTTGGATGTCTTTGCCATGAGAGTGGTGAGGTGCTGGAACAGCTGCCCAGAGAGGCTGTGAATGCCCTGTCCATCCCTGGAGGTGTTCAAGGCCAGGTTGGATGGGGCCCTGGGCAGCCTGGGCTGCTATGAAATGTGGAGGTTGGCGGCCCTGCATGTGGCAGGGGGTTGGAGCTTCGTGATCCTTGAAGTCCCTTCCAATCCAAGCCATTCTGTCATTCTGTGACTTGAGGAAGCTACAGGATGAAACAGGGAAGCTTCACGTTGTAGCTGCCCAGCCTACATTAAAATGGCCCCTAAAAATGCCCATCTTGGGTCAGGAATGTGTTTGGTGCTGCGTGAGCAATTTGTTCCATCACAATTATTAAAAAAAAAAAAAATTCCATCACTTTCTGTTGTGTGCAATACCCACATCACTGGAGCACCTGAGTCTGGGTCCCTGGGTCCCTTCGGGTGTCCTTCACATCCAGCCTCCCTCGAGTGGAGGCTGTGACCACTGATGCCTTCACACTGCCCTCTCTCACACAGAGGTGCAGTGCTCTGCGAGGGCTCCGAGGAGGACGACCACCTCTACGTCTCCACGGAGGATGTGAGAGTCAGTGTCACCATTCAGAGGCTGCAGGTGTCATCTCCACCTCTTGGAGGGACCTTCTGCATACGCCTGGGAAGCACAGTGATATCAGGTAAGGTATGGTGTGAGTACAGATCGTGGACTTGCTTTTGCTCTAAGGCAAATACGAAAGGGAAGGCATGACAACATGGCAGATCTTGAGGTACAAGGGATCTACAGCCAATGTTTTTCATTTCTCCCGCACTTGGTGTGGCAAATTGCTAAGAGTGACCAAGTACAGGTGAAGTTCCCTGTCCTGCCACCAAATTTTCCTTGTGCTTTTGAGGACATGGCTTAGTGGGCACGGTGGTAATGGGATGATGGTTGGACTAAATGGTCTCAGTGGTCCTTTCCAACCTGATTCTATGATCTGTGAACACTGAGCCCTGGAAATGCTCAGGCTGACAAGTCAGACACACTGTGGTAGTTGCATCTTTGCATCTGATCATCTTCCAGACAGGATTATAAGCAGGATAGTGCTGCCTTGCTTTAGAGATCCTCCTTTGAAAAACTGTAGTCTATTTATCTTAGAATCCTTAGAGTTGGAAGGGACCCTTTTAAGGCCATCTGTCCCACTCCCTGCACTGAGCAGGGACACTCACAGCTCCATCAGTGCTCACAGCCCATCCAGCCTGACCTTGGCTGTCTGCAGGGATGGGGGTCCACTGCCTCTCTGGGTGACCTGTGCCTTTTTTTTTTTAATGAATCATTTGAGATCTATTATTTCCGTAGCATTGGATGCCTATGGCTACTTATGTCAGAAGAAATAAGATACAGTTTGCTTTTTTTTGGAATTGAACTATCTAGTCCTCTTGATAAACAGATTTTGCCTCTCATCCCTTTAATCTAGGAAGTTTCTGGCCTGTCTCTTTTGAAGGAATATGGCATGCACAGTGAAGTATCATGTCTTCCAAAAATTTAGATTGCCAAGTATGAAAAGTATTACAGAATCACATCCTTGTGTTCATGCAGAGCTCCCTATGTCCCAGTTTGTGCCCACTGCCCTTTGTTCTGTCACTGGGCACCACTGAAAAAAGCCTGGCCCCACACACTTGACTCCCACGCTTTAGATATTGATAAGCATTGATAAGATGCCCCCTCAGTCTTCTCTTCTTCAGGCTGAACAGCCCCAGGACTCTCAGCCTTTCCTCATACAGGAGATGCTCCAGGCTTCTCATTTCTATATCCCTGACTTAGCTTTCTGATGAAACAGGAACAACTGGAGAATGTTTTCTAGATTTTCTTAGTTATTTAATAATGGCATTTGGAATCCATAAGACTTTCCCCTGCTGATTTTTTTTTTTTTTTTCTTGCAGTTACAGAGGTTTAAACCATCACAACCTTGTATAAAAAACGAAACATCTCCATTTTCTGTGAGCAGGCAGACGTGCTCTCATAGGGATGACGATATCCACAGCTTTGTCTCTTGCAGACGTTTCCGTGCACATCTCCTCCCACCAGCTCCACAAGCTTCTGCAAGCCAACACAGACAGTTCTACAGCCCCGTACTTCAACACCAGTGACTTCATCGTGATCAAAGACTCAGAGACTTGCTATGAAAGCATCTGGACTCTCACCTGGAGAACAAAAGCTGGGGACTTGCCCAATGTTATCAATGTACGGTCACTTCTTTTAGTAATGCCCACTTTGAACCCCATTCGTTGTCGTTTGTCGTGGCCAATTTGTTCTCTGTTCCCTTTTATGAAGCAGTTGCTTAACTGCAGATTAGATTGTGGTATAATTTCTGTACCAAAAACTTGTCTTTTCCGGGAATTTTTATGCACATTGGGTTAATATCTGGTTCTCTAAGGTCTCAGAGGAAGATCTGTTTCACTGTCTCCCATCCTGAGGTTCATCATATTAAAACCATAGAATCACTCAGGTTGGAAAAGACCTTAAAGATCATCGAGTCCAACCATGGAAGTTTAAGTTTTGCTTCAGGTAGAACAGTCTGCTTTGAATATAGGCACAGATTGAAATTCTTTCTCCCATGAGAAGAAATTTTGTTCTGTTGTATATCCACATCCTACAAATGTAAAGTTAGCTTCAAAGAAGCAGTAGGATCCTGTGCTCAGGGTGGGGTTGGGAAAACGTTGTGCAGACTTGGGAAACGAAGGCTCAAACCTGAAGACAAAAGCCATAGAAGCAGCTGGAGAACAGATTTCCAAGAGCTATTTCCCACCTTGTAGCAACTGTGTATGAGGGCTGTGGGAATGGTCATACATTACACTGGTTGGAAAAGAGCAAGAAACTGACATCCTTGCTCTTTGCCAGGTCTCTGCTGAAAACCTCACTGGTCTGAAGGCAGCTGTTTCCAGTCGTGTGGTTTATGATGGGGGTGTCTTTATTGGGCCGATATTTGGGGACATGCTTGCTACCTCCAATAACAAAACACAGGTGGGTTAACGCTGTGCCACACTTCCTACTGGTTCACCTGGATCCTGTAGGTCAGGAGGCTAACTGGTTTTCAGGTGCTCACTACTGCTGCTAAATCGTTTCAGAGATCTGCTTTGTGATTCTCCATAAAGCAGTCGGGTCATGCTCCCTCTTGTGTGGAGCAGTGCTTTCCTTAGGAGCTATTGCAAGTGAGAAGAGTTGATTTCTTTGGAGGCAGTGCTCTGGGACTGACATTCCCTGGAATCCCACCCATGCTAGGTAGTGCTGTCATCATAGTTGGGACTGATGCTGTATTTATCTGCAGCATTCCAGCCCCTATGCTGTTGGGTAAAATGAACGGGATACCTGGTACTAGTGTGTGGATTGGGCAGGTCCTTCAATCTCTGGATCTCAATTCTTGATTTGTAAAAAAAAAAAGGGAACAGGTAAAGCTTCTGCCTGCTCAGCAGATTTGTTCAGCCGAGATGTGCTGCAGATTGATTCACACAGCTGCCTTCGCCTCCAGCAAAGACTGCAGGGTGCTGCAGTGATAACTGTGCAAGGCTGGATGTGCTCAAAGCCCTGCTGCTGGGCTTCAGCAGCACCTGTGGTTAGGTCATCCTGCTTTATTTATTTCTTCTTTTCTTGGAAACTACCTGTTTTTGTTATTTGCAGGTAGTGGTTTACCCTCCTGGCACACACCTGATGCCTGTGGGAGGGAACAAGAGGGCTTTTCTATGTCCTGTGCTTTGCCACTTGAGTCTTCTGAGGGGGGAGCTGATGTTAGTTCTCTAAGTCACAGCCCAGCTGTCTTCATTTAGCACAAACTGTGAGGAAATAAAAATTGAGAGGTGCTTGCTGAGCAATCTGAGATTAGTTATAATTAGCTTTACAAGGTGCTAAAAGCCTTGTTCTCAAAGTGGGATGGAAAGAACTGGGGTATGGCAGGTGGGGTCTTCAGTGGGTGACTGGCAGAAGAGGAGCTGTAAGTTCCAGAGAGGTGAGATGGGGACACAGCTTCCAAAACCATGTGCTGCTTTATCTAAGATGAGCTCTAGCAAACCATGCAATGAAACTTGTGCCAGTGCAGTAGCTGGACAGCTGTGGCTTCAGAAAACACCACTTTAGAATAACCTCCTTCTCCATCTCCAGGTGGTGGTGGTGGTGAATGATGTCCCAGCAAACTGTTCTGGTTCCTGCTCTTTCCAGTTCAGCCAGGAAATGACACCCTTAGTCAGTGATGTGGAGTATTCAGCAGGTAATGGGGCTTTGGGTCTGCACAAAACGAGGGGGGAGATGGCTGTGGAAAAGGACTGTCAAATGCTGATGTGTGTATTCTTTTGGAAACTGTGTTTCCAAAAAAAAAAAGT